TGATTTTTTTTTTTTTTTTTTTTTTTTTTTTTTTTTTTTTATATTGCTAAATCTTTTCTGATGTGTAATTGCTAATTTTCTGCATTGAAATTTTGACCTTTCTTGCCTAACTTTTGGAGTCATCAATCTTCTCATATACTCAAACGTAAATAATCCATTCATGTTCTTTGTTGTGTTGCTAATGTCTGTATTCCTTCAATAGATGGATGCTCGTAGCCTCGCTATGGAGATGACTCCTATAATAATGTGGCAAACGGACAGGCGGCCAGAATTCTATCGGGAATATTGGGATTATCATTCTGAAAATTCTTCTGCAAAGTCCTCGAATAATACATCACCTACTTACAGTGCATGGGACATGCTTTCAGGTAACTTGGCCAATCCTTGATATTTGATTGTTTGCTATGTGCTTTATAATTGGAAATAACTCTAGATTTTTCCTCTTTTGGAGTGGACATTTCAGTCGCATGCTTTGGAATGAGAATGATGGTGATGAGTTATATTATCCATTTAATATTGATTGACAATCTGAAGTGTGTGAAAAGACCTACCACCTTTTTATGCAGATAATTCTATCTAGTTAATAAAATTTATTATGATTACTGTCTTAGATGTTCAACTGAGGAAATGTGAAAGGTATTAAGTAGTGAGGTTTGGGCATATTCCAACCTTTACCCTGCACTTTAGTAGCTTTGAGTAGTTTACTGTATGTGGGCTTGCTGTTAATTCTTTGTTTAGGTAGTGCACTGTTTTTAGTAGTTAGTGGTTAATTAGAAGCTCTTATAAAGAATACGATGCTCTGTCTTTGCAACCCGTACTTTTAATTCATATAATAAAGCTCTCTTTGAACATTCTTGCGGCGAATCTTTAGGCTGCATCTGTATAAGAAGTGAGTAGGGACATTTTGAACCATTTAACCTTTAATGTTCTGTTCATTAAGCTATTATTCATGGTGCAATATTGAAACCTCAACACATATATTGTTAAGAAGGAAAATAATTTTAAATATTGTGCAAAATTATCCTCGATTGTCCTTTTGATCGTCCCCCTGGATTAATTTTCACTATTTTTGTTTTTGTGCTTCAGAAGAGAGTGATGATACAGATGCTTCCTCAGACATTCCCTTGGATGATGCCTTGCCAGTTGACTATAGTGCCATCGAGGTCATTCAGTGCCTCATAGAACATCATAAGGAAATTTTTACTGATGCCAATTAAACAATTTGGAGATAAATCAGCAGCAGTTATTTCCTCGGGCGACCTTTATTCTTGGATGAATTTTGATACAAGTCTATCTCTAGCGACAGGTCTATATCTGAGAGTTATTTTCTTAGTTCGATTGGCCAGGTTGGTAAATTAAACTTAAAATTTGTTCGGATATGGACAGCTAGCACAGTGAAAGAAACTACAGTGTGATGCATAAAATGGAGCGCGTTTAGTTGTAATAACCTTCCAGGATTTACTAGTTGATCTGAAGTTAGATATCAGTTGTACATACAACTAATACTGCTGTTATATTTAGCGTGTGAATAATAATTCTATTTACAATATGCCAGTTGGACATAGTTCGTTCTTCTTCGTATAATATTTGGGCCACCCAACTTAGTATTACTCTCACCCAAGCACGCTTAATTGCGGACTTCTGATGAAATCTGGTGCATTAGTGCCAGTATGATCGCACCCTTAACTACGTTGAACACCTCGGTTGTTGATAAGAGATATACTCCAGATACTTTGATAATAGCACCCAGGAAGTAAGCTACACAATTCAACCAGAGACACCGAGGAAAATAGCAAACTAATAAACTATGACAGGGATGTATTGTCTATTGAGCTAGTGGAGCTTGGATATCCATGTTTCTGTTAAAATGAAGGGGGAGGTTGATAAAAAAAGTCAAACAAATCAGCTGAGAAATCGTCAAAGCAATCAACAACTGTTGCATGGTAAGGGTTTCCATTCTCAACTTCTAAACTACTTTCTGCTTTCATATCTTGTTCTTTAGGCATTGAACTGCTCATGAACTGCAGGGAGCTTTCTATTTTTGAAGTCTGGCCTGGCTCAAGCCCGTCTTGCAAATTGGAAGCAATGTGGTGTGGCGCCAGTCCGAGGCAGTCTGGAACCATTCCGATCCCTTGTGAGGATTGGGTGATTTGGGAGATGCAACAATGAGGAAAAGGGTCAAAGGGTGCTAGCATGTGTATGGATGGAGTTCCAAATATTTGATTCTCAGTTTCCATAGCTATCATATTTGACTGTACTGATAACGATGCCATTTTATGCATCTCTGCGTTTCCTAACTCGAATTCATTCTCGAAATGATCGTTCCAGGTTGATGATCGTTTCTCCAGCTGAGAGGAGACGGAGGTAGGAACCTGCAAATACATCAGTCAAGGTTGGATATCTACAGATCACAGAGTTGTAAGTTGTAACTATTAACTTGGATATCAAACTATATTACCTCTAAATCAGGCAATACATGATGAAGTCTTCGAGATTCTGAAATTTTCTGGTTATGTTTCTGAGATTTCTGTGGTGGGGTTTGCAAAATCCGTCCCAATCTTTTCCTCCTTGTACTCCAGAAATTCTTCACATCATTATCCGTCCTTCCCGGCAAATACGTAGCGATTTTCGCCCATTTATTCCCGAACTGTGCCTGTAATTCTATCACCACCCTCTCCTCATCTGCTGAAAACCTGCATCCTCTGCACAAATACTGATTTCCTCTAGAAATTGGAATCTTTACAGAAATTCAAATTGAAATTGAAATTGTATGACTTACGTCTTCAAGTTGGGTTGAAGTTTATTAACCCAACGGAGACGGCAGGATTTTCCAGTCCTAGGGAGAAGTCCTTTGGATCGAAGGGAGCTCCAGTCTCTTGGACCAAACTTGTTAACATAGTTCATCAGAACCTCATCTTCTTCAACACTCCAAGGCCCTTTCTTCATCTGCGTTCCATCTCTTTTCCTCTCCATTTCTTGAACAATCCCTTTCTATTTCAATTCAACTTCTTCTTCAAAGTGAAGGGTAGCGTGAAATGGGGTATGAGAAAGTTATGAACTTTTTATCTTTGTTCTTGCATTTGTTGATCAATTGCTTCTGCTGCTCTATGCTTGGCTCCATGGAAGTGTTAAGAGGTTTAGCCATTAGATTTTGGATGAGATTTTGATCGGTGGATTAGATGTTATTGTGTTTCGTTTCTTAGCTACGTGGAAGTGAAGTAGTTTGATGATTCTGTGCGCTTGCGTACACTGGATTTTGGTTTCTCCCACTTAACATGAGTAGCGGTTTCGACGGTTAGTGGTATGATCCATATCCCCCCCCTTTGTGTTCTTGGTTTGAATTTTGCGAAATTACTCTACTGCCCTTCTCTTGGGCTGAATATTACACTCTAAACCACGGAATTTTTTTTCTCACTTTATTTTTCACGTTCAATCTTCGTAATTCGTGTGTATATATACCTTTTTCAATAATTTTTTTTTTTTTTACTTATCACAAAATGTAAAGTCCTAGATAGTATAAAACCATTATCAAATAATCATTTTTTTTCTTCATATTTTTCATAAAAAAGAAAATAATTGTTCGACAAAAGTTCTAATTCATTGATCAATATGAATATAACTCAATTCAAATATTTACTATGTTCAAATCTCTTACTCAACATATTACTAACTAATAAAATAGTTATAATTTTAATTTTGTGAGTTAATTATTTGGAAGGAAAAAAGTTGATTAACTTTTTTAAAAAATAAAAAAGTCGTGAGCAAATGTGTTCCACATCCAACAACCAAAATTACTATTATGTGGCTATTGACTTATCAATGGAGAGGGTGAGTGGGAGGAGAGTTCTATGAAATTCCACCATATATATATCAGATTGAGCGGAGCGGATTAGGTGCGGGTTGAGGGGTTGAGAGAGAATCAACACTTTTGTTTCAAGAGTGTCGAGAATAATGATTTAAAAAGAATTAGAATAGAACGGCATCATGTTTTATTGAATAAGTGGTCTAAAAAGTAGAAATCTATTCTCCAAAAGACTTAACTAAACGGCCTTTGATATGGATCCTTCAACAACATTCTTATAACAGTGTGAGACCATTGTTAACAGATATTGTCCATTTTGATCCACCACGTATCGACATTAGTCTCACCATTTTAAAACACTCGTATAAAGAATGATTCGTTCCCCTCTCCAACCAATGCGAGATCTCACAATAGGGGTGGATTTACTCCCCCATCCTGATACCGACTTGTTCTAAAACCTCTTCCAAAAGATCAATTATGTGCTGATTTCGTTGAGCTTTTGAAGCACTCGCTTCATACTTGGCCTAAGAGCTGGAGAAGGAGAACAGCAAGCCATAGCAATCTGAAAGAATTTGAGTATCTTTTCTTCAGTGACGCTGTTTCCATCAACGCTACTAAATACAAGTATTTCAGGATGAAACAGCTCTCCAATTCTATACTCAAGAACAGCATTTCTCATGACGTTAGGCAAGTAACAATCCTCACCGGGACTCGCTTTTTTGTCGATCGGTTCCTTTCCGGACAGTAACTCAAATAAGATTACGCCGTAGCTATAGATATCGCTCTTCTCATTTGCATCCTTCATCTTGATCAACTCAGGAGCTTTGTAGCCATTGCCTGCTGAAGCTTCAACCAACTCTTGTGCAGAAGATGAATTCAACAGCAAATGTAGGCCGAAATCCGACACCAACGGTTCGTAGTTTCGATTCAAAAGAACATTCTTTGCCTGTAGATTCCCATGGATTGTTGGCTTTTGCAAACCAGTATGGAGATGATCCAATCCTTTCGCTATACCAATCGAGATCTTGTTTATTACCGCCCATCGATGCGAGTCGCTGTTCCCATCTGCCAAATCAAATCAAAATAGATTGAATCATAAGTTCATAACAAGAGGGTTGGGAGGGAGTCCCACATTCGTTAATTTAGGGAATGATCATTCGTTAAGTAAGGAATACGTCTCCATTGGTACGAGAACAAAATATACCATAGAGTCTCCCCTGATGCCTATGAAGCCCTCGAATAGTCTGCCTTTAATTGAGGCTCCACTTTTTCTCTGGAGCCCTCAAACAAAGTACGTTACTTATTCGACACTTGAGTCACTCTTTTTACTACACCTTTGAGACTCACAATTCTTTGTTCTACATTTGAGTATTCTATTGACATGGTTAAGTTTAGGGCAGAGCTCTGATCCCAATTACGACTCTCTACATGATCATTCCCTAAATAAACCGACGTAAGACTCTTCTCCCAATAATTCCGAACAAAATTGTCGGGAAAAATGAAAGATTCAACCAAGACCCATAAGAAGAAATATGGATTTCTTTACCTCTAATGAACTGAGCCAGATTCCCATGCCTGTAAAATGGATGAATCAGGAGCTTCTCTGTTCTTGGACCTGAATAGAATCCCAAAAGAGGCACCAAATTTTGGTGCCTAATGTCACCCAAGAACTCAATCTGAGCAACAAAAGCCTCAAACCCAGTAGTACAAAGTGGCCTCAGGAACCTCAGCAGCCTCACAGTGCTGCTTCCTTGCAGGTAGGCCTTATACAGAGTTCCATGGCTGGCTTTTCCAATCACTTCCCCTGGAGCTTCCAATATATCAACAATGGTAAGATCCTGTCCGCCATGAAAACTCACCAATTCTTCTCTCTCTTCTTCCCCATTTTCCCTCTCCTGGTTCCTCTCTGTGTCGTTGTATTCATCCTTCCCTTTTCCCCTTCTTTTCAAGAAGATGAAGATGATAATGGCCGCAACTGCAATGGCAACCACTCCAAGAACAAGATTGAGGATCTGGGTCATCTTCGTTTGAGGGAAAGTTTGGTTCTTTGAGCTAAAAAAGTTGAGTTCCCTTTGTTGGTCAATGATTCACAGGAACAACCTTAAAAACCAGAGGGGAATATGAAGAGAAGAAGAAGAAAAGGAGCTGTTTGGTATAGAATGATGAGCGTTGGATCAAGCAATGGAAAGACAAGAGTAAGATGATTATACAATGACGAGCGTTTTGACCCGTTACGTATCACTGTCAACTTCACAGTTTTAAAATACGTTTGAACACTGTTAGTAGATATTATCCACTTTGACCCATTACGTATCGTCGTCAGCCTCACAGTTTTAAAATTCTTCTGAACAATGTGAGTAGATATTATCCACTTTGACCCATTACGTATCATCGTCAACCTCACAGTTTTAAAATTCTTCTGAACACTGCTACCATATATTATCCACTTTGGCCCATTATGTATCACTGTTGACCTCTCAATTTTAAAATGCGTCTGAACACTGCTAACAGATATTATTCGCTTCTACCCGTTACGTATTGTCGTCAACCTCACAGTTTTAAAACGCGTTTGAACACTATTGGTAGATATTATCTGTTTTGATTCGTTACGCATCGTCGTCCCTCAATCTGATGTGGGATCTCACAAGTTGACAATGATAGGAAAGTGTGTTGTCAAACTTAATCGGTGTAAGTGTTTTTGTTACTATCAAACTCTTTCAAGTCGTTATCGATCTCACTATTTCATCGAACAATCCAACCGATTTACACGGATAATGTTTGAAAATGTTTGAAAAAGTTGGAACCCTAGAAGAACATACATTTTTGTTACATATAAGTTAGAGAGAGAGAGAGAGAGGAAGAAAATGCAGAAAAGACACGAGAGAGGCACGTGATGGGTATGGCTGATTGAGGGCTATGTGTTGTCAAAACACACAAATTCCATTTCAACGCCCAAGATCTCCCATTAATTCTTTTTTTTTTGTCTAAATTTCAAAACATGTTTAATAAAGTTTTTATTTTTTTTTTCAATTTTTAAAAAATATTTAATAGTTATAAGTTAAAAAAATAGGAATAATACATCTTTAATTTTAGAGAAAATATTATTCTATTTCTATCCTATTATTTTTCTGTTTTATTAATGAAAAAAGAAAAAAGAATCCAACTATAACGGCTATATTTGGAATTATAATTAAAATATTTGAATGATGATAAACATTTTTTAAATACAATTTAATTGTTTTTAACTCAAGCAACTTTGATTAAACAATTTAATAGTCTAAGAATTATTGCATAATAAATAATTAAAAAAATAATTGTAAAATTAAATATAAATAAACTTAAAGTATATAATGGGATTGTATTGTAAGTAAAAATGTATATATTAAAATTAATAATAAATACGAGTTCATAATTTAGTTTTAAAAAAACCTATGAACAAATTAAATGCATAAATGTATAATTTTTCTTTTTTCAATTTTAATTACAAGTAAGAAAGAAAATTAAAAATTATTTTTAAATTTGTGTCTATTTCTTTATATTTATGTTTATTTGATTAATAAATTTTTATACGTCTAAAAATTAAATTTATAATTTAATAGAGAAGTATAATTTTTTTTTTTTATCAAATTTAATAAGTTTTTAGAATTTTTTTTTTTTATATATTATTAAAAGTAAGGGGGAAATATATGGAATATTTATTTATTTATTTTATTACACTCTTATTAATGGAAAATAAGTGAATTTAAATGTGAAAGACAGCTAGATAATGTTGGAAGGTTCTGAATTATTTTAATTTTGTGTTGTTTTGTTTCCCACAAAACCAAAATTGTCAACCCATAATCACATTCACAAGAAAGAAACAAAATACATTAAACCAAAATTTAATTAATTAAACAACTTTGCTCATTTTGTTTCAATTTTATTTTCTAATAAATTGATTATACAAATGTTTTTTTTTTTTTTTTGAGGTTGTTTGAGGAAAAAAAAACATATTTTAATAAATTATAATAAAAATAAATTGAAACCCAAACAGAGAGAAAAGTAAAAAGAAAATAATAATTAAAGGCCGATTAATTAAAAGTATTAAATCTTTGTGTTTAGATGGTATAGACGACAGAACTAAGTTGGTGTACATGTAACACCTGTGTAAACAAGGGGTATATGAATAAACCGAGAATACCTTCGAATGAGAGCGATCATACTGATAATTACTATCAAAGTTAAAATATGTTTGGTTTAAAGTAATTCTACAATGACAAAGCTCGTATTTTTTTTATGATTATATTGATTGGTTAGTCTTCACTCTTAAAAACACTCTGGACAATTACGCAATACAATCATGTCATAGGAGATATAGGTGGACGACGAGAAGGAACCTTAATTATTTTAATAATTTTAGTCCAAAATACTTTTTTGAATATGGTGTAATCTCATTATATTTCTTATCAAAATAAATTTCATTGGCTATAATTTTTTTTTAAAATTAAGAATAAAATAATAAAATCCAAAAATTTAGGAGGATTAAATGGCATAATGATTAAAAAAAAAAAAAAAAGTAAGAGACATTGATGTGATGGGAAGATATTTTTGGTGGGATTTTATCCTATTTACTCTATTTTTTTTTTTTAAATAAATAATAGCCCTCAAATATGGTATGAAAAGGGGTTAGATTTGTTGATGAAATTTTTAATTTTAATTTCATTAAAAAGAAATTCACTGCTTATATTTGCTAAAATTCAAATTTAACTTGATAAAATTTAAATTTGATAAAATATTAAGAATGAAAATGAATGAAAATAAAAATAATAAATAAGGCAAAAAGTGTAAGATACCAAAATTAAGGTATACAGTCCCACAACCTAATAAAAATGTGTAGAATTTGGAAACTAAAACAACTTGAAAACATTCCAAGTTAAACCTTCCTTTAAAAAAAAATAATAATAATAAAAAAAAAATTAACAATTTGTTAATAAAAAATTACAATTAAATATGATTGTATAATCAATTACTAAAATAAAAGACTTTCTTTGCACTCAAATTTTGATTTCAACAATTATTTAAACCTATTATGTTATAAATTACTTAATTGAATTCGTTCATAGAAATAAAAAATTAAAAAAAAAACAAGCATTTCAAAAAATAAAAACTAAAACTATTATCGATAACGTTAAACCACGTAACATTTTTATGCACTCTTGATAATAAATAAAAATAATTTAAATATAAATGGTCCATTATTTATTTCTTTGCTTGGAAATAGAAAATAAATTTAATTGGAAATATATTTCCACATATTTCTCTCAAAGCACCAATTAAAATATGTAGGGCAATTGATTGTACAAATGGTACTGAGTTTTTTTTTTTTTTTTTAAATTTTATTATTATTATTATTATTATTTTAATTTCTATGAATAAAAATACTTCTTAAAAGTGAAAAAGCAAATTAGAAAAAGTAATTTTCATGTAATTGTCAATATTGCCTTAAATTGGAAGCTTAGTTGCTTTAATTAATGATGATTTGTGAACAAATTGAAGAAAGAATTAAATTTTAATCAAAACAATAAATACAGAGCCACATTCAATAATGATAATATAAGCACCATTTGAATCTAAATTATATATTTTTATTAAAATAATTATAACATTTGGAATTTTATAATTTATAAATATATCCAACTTTATATTACTTATGGATTTTTACATACCATTTGATTTTAAAATACATAATTTAATTAAAACATTATAAATATAAGCTTTTACCAAAATTTTGTATCAACATCTTACTAACACTAATGAAAAACTGGGTGACCCGAAATTTCATTTTTCATTACTGCCAAAATCACCGACAACGCAAAAAAGCAAACGTTTTTTTAGCAGACCACAAATCGCTATCAACTTATGATGTAGTGATATACACCCGATTATATTACACAACTCGAAAAAGATTAAGAATAATCCATTGTAGGCAATTATACAAAACTTGCCCTCACAAATTAATGCTTTTTTCTATGTTTCTAAGCCAGTTTAAACACTATCAAAAGCCAAGAATTGATTAAAACATCACCTCATCTTCCAACAATTACTCTTCAGCTGAAGCATTGAACTCCCAAGTGAACAGAGAATTATAGGTACTGCCGAAGACTTTCACCACTCATAGACTCCATTTCCTTGAGAATATCTTGTGCAAGAGATTTAACAGAGAGCTCCACATCTTCAAGCAGCTCGCCGAGGAAGGGGATGGTCTCAGGTAGAAGTACTAAATATTCTTCTTTCAAATTCTCAACGAGATATTTGACGATTCTTAGACCCAGAATTCGAGTACGAACCTTGTCACTTCTGGTTTGCATCAATACCTACCACAAGAGTTTAAAAGAGATGAAATTAGAAAATTTCCAAATTCAATTGGCTTATTGTGCAATGCATAGGAATGTCCCCAGTCTACACACTAAAGAAGGGAACTGTAAGATGTGGAAGTAAAACACCCAAAAAACTAGTCCATGCTTCTAAGTAGTCAACCATAACCAAGGAAGGAGACAACTATGTTCGTAATCTGTTTCATCATAAACAATAGAATTTGAATGGACTAAAACCGACCATAACATTCGGGGGAACTGCATAATACTCTAATGAAGTATAGTTGATAATTAGTTGTATCATGTTTATGACAATTAGTTGTAAAGTGGTTCGAAAATTTCAAAAAACAGACAAAAAACAGACTATATACTAAAGATATGTTTTTTACCTCGTGGTTCAAGTGTTTCCACAACGAATCGCTCCCAGTAGCCACGGCCATTTGACCAATGCAGTTCACCAGAACGTCATCAACCTTGTTTACAGACGGAACATTAATGTTCTCGTCAAGCATTTCTGGTGGCTCAGATGCCATCTGTGAAACTATGGGCTTGAGTAGAACCTGTAAAGAACATGACCCAAAATCATTAGGAAGGTAAATAAACTAATAACAACCAGAGACCAAGGAAGACAACCTAGACAGCAACATAACAACTGTTACATCAAATGTCGGTTGATAAAGATCAGTTATGTTCGTAACAAGTGAGGGGCAAGATCCATCAACCTGGAAATTTGAGGAGTCAAGGAATTTCAAGCTCCCAGTGTCGTAGAGAAAGCACTTATGCAATGATGACAAGACCAATGCTCTTATATGCCAGCTTTTAAGAGAGATCACTACAGT